GAATCCGAGGTTGTCTTTTGGTAGAACCGACCTTCGAATCTCTTCACCCAACACTTTCACTCGAAATGGAAGTAAGCTCAACAATTGTTTGACCTTGTTTTCGCAACTTGGTCATATTGGTAGGAGAACTTAGAGGAACGCACCTAGTCCGGAGTCCATTGTATGCATGATCATTTCCAAAGTCGGATCGTGGACGTGGTACATTACCAGACGTTTCGCCGGCACAGTTACAGCTTATCAAAATGACAAATCCGGGAATGTGCCAAATCAATCGTCCGATGCTTGAAATAACGAATACTATGATACAGGACTCAGGACTAGACATGTTTCACAAGGTATTCATGATGCTCCGACTAAGTTGTAAAAACGAGGCAAATCAACACCATAAAGCTAAAGAAGACTCCGACAAAACAGAAAACCATATCATCTTGGTCTTCATATCTACGATAAGTTACTGGAGTTCGCAAAAGAATAATAAATGCGAAAAAAGATTGGTTTCAAGAAATCTATTGGTTTACAATAGGTCAGATCACTTCCATTTAAAATGAAAGTTTGTAATGGAGAGATTTAAAGGTCAATCCCCGCAAAAGATGGCGGCGGATTCCTCTTGTTAAAATTTCGGTTGGCCTTTCTGGAACATCCTGGTTAATGCTGCCCCCGAAGCAATCTCCCTCGATTACTCTGATAACTTGCTAAACTTCCGTCTGTCATATAAAGGGTATTACCAGATCAAAGCATCATTCTTACAACTGTATTCAAACCGACGGGTTTTTTTGACTTATTAGCTTAAATTAGCTGTAAGAATGGCACACAGCTCTGATAATGCCTGTTATATGACAGACGAAAGCTTAGCAGTTTTCTAGCGGAATCGAATTGAATTGTCTCGGGAACAGTGTTTCAATAAACACAGTCTAGAGTTGGCCAAGATGAATCCGGCACAGTCTTTTAGTGGGTTCGGCCAACTTCATTGGAAGTGGGCTCAACGCTATAGTCTAAATCGAATGAAATTCGCCCTAATAATAGTTTCGCAACTAAAAAAAAGTTGGTTTTATCGACACCCATTACAGAACTGTGTAAAATAAAAGAGGCCTGGATTTCTTTGATAGTCACATCTACCCCATGATTCGCTGAGCTTAGCGATGTGTTGCCTAGTCATAAAGTTCTGCACCCTTGATGTGCAAGTTTCGGTTTATAATTTCTCATTTTTATGTCATGTGTACATATTGAGTAATAGTGGAGGTGGCCTTATTTATATAAAAATACATAGGGAAAACATTGTGGTTTAACAAGCTAACAAGTGTTTCGTAATGCCTCCTCCCATAGTCCAGGGCTATCTGACAAAATATATCTACTAATTAAACCTAACAAATTACTAATAATTGTTAAGGTATGAATACAAATTAGTGTGGATATATATGTAAGCTTTAGAAAAGGTATGCTTTGACCAAAATAATAGTAACATAGACTAAGTGAATGCGAATACAACTGTTAGTCATAATGATGTCCGATGTCATGCCAATAAATCTATTTGCCTTTGAGCTTGGCTCATTGAACAGTTGAAGAAAAGCCAGAACTTACTAGAAAGGCGTCTGACGATGTGATCACTTTCATTCGAAGGAAGATGTCGAAAAATTTGAGGATCATCTAAAATAAAAAGAGGCCTAGGTTATGGTATCAAAGAAGTTACCTTCAAAACTAAAAATTAAGGATATGTGGGAACTTTAGACTCCTTTCCTGTAGGAGAAGGGTATAATCATGGGATTCGGAAAAATAATCCATAAACTAAAAGTAAGAAAGAAAGCTGGAAGTTAGACTGCAAGACATTGAACTCTGAGAAGCGGTTTGACCTCGTTATCGCAACTTTGTGATAGTAGTTATTATAATTCCCGGCGTTGAACCGTGGATTTAGTATATTCAAAGAAGCTTGGTCGGCACCATAGTCGGCATCGTCAATGAGTTTTGCCCTTCTCAGTACCAAGCTACAACTCGTCAGAGACAAATGGAGCTAATTCCTTGACCAACTTTCTGCTGAACGTTGTGTTATTACTCCTGTTCCGACACATTACCTATTTCTGACAAGATGCCTACAACTAGGTCTGAAACAATCTGAAAATAGACTGTGACCAAAACAACAGGGTACCATATCTTGGTCTTCATATCAACAAATAGTCTCTGAAGTATATTAAAAAAAGTATTTGATGGCCAAATAATGAAGGTATACTAAACATTAAATATAGTTAAATTTCTAGGCTTTATAATTTTTATATTTTACGTATTACTATTTTTAAATTAATTTTATTTCAAAGTGCAAATGAATTCCATAGTCCCCAAATTCTTAAATGTTCAGACAAATTTCCCTCCAAATTAGTTTCGACAATAGATATAAATAATTAGATAAAATTAAAATAAAACACGAAAGATGAAAAGGTGTATAAATTTAGTACTTCATTAATCGAAGTGTAATGATAATGGATATTCTTATTAATCAGTACTAAGTATCTCTTTTATACAGGCCTTTTGCTGATTTAGGAAAGGTATCATTGAATGAATATTGAGTCGACTTTTTGACATCATTGTCTAGCGATATAATGCCATTTGATTTAAGAATGTTGACTAATGGCCGAATAAATGATTTTCTTGGTAGACAAGTCTTACTTATTTGACCTATTTTTGGCAAGTTTCTACGGAGGATCTTAAAATAAACTATTGGTCAAAAAGTGATCAAAAGGTGAAGAAATCAGTGTCAAAACAAAAATTCGATTTAGCAGATAAAAAAGTACATGTTTTAACACACAGACGAAATGAATGAGCCCTTTAGCCAAAAGTCCCAAACTAACTTCGACGTTGGCGGCAGATTCGGCAAGCGTGTCAACCATCTGACGACCGATCGGTCCATTTACCACGTTACCCTCGAGCATAGATAGCAACATGATCATCATCTCCTTCTGTAAATTGAGGAACTCGCGAAGAAGATCCAACTGGTCGGGGTCTTTACTCAGTTTATCCTGCATGTGTGCAAATAGGTACAAGAAGCCGCTGATAGCATCCCAGAGCCTAGAATGTGCAAGAGCCAGCTGATTGCCCAGGCAGGGACCCTAAAGAAGTGGATAGAAGAGATAAGGATAACAAAGTTTGACAAGAATGAAAGGAAAGCAATGAAATAAACATGGAGCATGTAGCGTTACATTACAGCTAAATGTAGGCCTTGTAATGAAATCTATTGGCCCATTCAAGAAACAATGGGGGAGAATGCATAAACCATAAAATATAGGACAATGGATCATTTATTTCTTACACAAAATTTGGTTCAATTGATTCCCTAAGTGACCGCACCAGAACCTGAAGTCAGTTTGCATTAATTGTCATTGCTGAATTATCGCTCTAAAACCCTGAAGAATCCACGATAAACAGTCGCCTGTCACGTGACAATCGCTGCTAGAGGTAAATCAATATTTTACAAAAAATCATAAAAGAAAGCCAAGAACAATCACAACTCCAAAGCAAACTGCTTTCAGTTTCTGAAAGCCAATAAACTGATCCCTTTCCTTAAAACTTCGCTGCAATATTCAAGTTCTAATGCCCCGAATAAAATGAAAATATAATATCGATAATACAGAAAGAGTTTGGATTTCTAGGTAGTTAAGTAATCTATGTACCTGAATATATTCCGTGAGACTGCAGAAGACCTGTTTGCCTATTTTAATGGCTCGTACGAAGTTCCGCTTACCGGCGTCGTCGATAGTATCCTTGTTGGAATAGTGCCAATAAAAGTCCATTATTGACTCCTGAAGACGAAGAAGGTAATCGACAGTCGAAATGATCAGGTTGACAGAGATTGTGTTGCCAGCCTGGCTACGTAGATAGTCTTGGAATGCTAGAAACCGAACAAAAAAGAGGGATGAATGGATCAAAAATATGGAAAGGAAAAAAAGGAAAGAAAAATTTACGAAAAAACAACGATGCATTTAAAGACTACGCACCATCTTAATATAGGCATAATCTCTATCAAAATTGTCGCAAATTAAAATGCAGACAAAAGGGCTCGAAAGAGCTATTAAGAAAAAGCCGTTATTTTATCGCACATTATACCATCATTCCTAGGGCTGATTAAAGTCAAGAGAATTCAATTAACCGGATGAATTGCTTCGGTTACGGTAGCTTAATAGCCACAAATAAAAACTCTCTAAACTCTACTTACAAACAAAAACTAAATAACGTAGTCTATTGTTATAGCAAATATACGTTTTCTTAATCGAGAATCCCATCTAAAGAATGTAATATGGCAAAAGGCCTGGCCTTCTTCGAAATTCACATCTGCCCTGTGACTTAAGGGCACTCGTGATAATGTGGTCGAGTGGTGAATGTGTCAGGCTCACATTCTGCACTGTCACGGTTCGACTCGCGCTAGGGGTGTTGATAAGACCGATGCGAGATGGAAACTGCAGTCCACTGGTACCTGGATGAGAACAACTTTCGGGAAAGCAAGGCTATGTGAAATTGAATGAAAACGCCACTTCTATCCATATCATTGTGGGAAAATTCTACTATCAGTCTTTCATCACCTTAAACGAAATAGGGTGAATACATCTCATATTACTGATTTACTGGTAGTCTAGAGACGAAGAGTAAATAAAAACTTAGTCAGTCTAGATTGCTTAAGTACGGATAATCGAGCTTTCCCTTGATTCGATGAGTGGGCCTCACGATACCATTGAATTTCACTTGAACTTGCCTACCAAAAAGGCTTATCTCATCCAGGCTGGGCAGCAGTTTAGACCATCTCTCACAAGCATCCCCAAGGAAATTCCATAACGGGTTGCTAATATCACTACGGCGTTATCACTCCACGACATAGCTACAAGTGTCAATGAGTAAAGGGTAGATCGGACATTCAAAGCAAACCAAATCAACTATCAGTCATTCATTCACCTTAAGTGACCTAGTATTATTCAAGTAGTAATGATAGCTACAGCACATATTTCCAGCGAGCCTGCCTACTATTAAGAACGTCTGCTTTATTTTAGTCAGATGGTCTATTTATACAAGTTAATTTTTGATCGGACTATTAGCTCAATTTACTATGTATTATACGATAGTGTAGTTGTTTTAAGTAGTTCATGAGTAATAAGTTTAGTCACCCCAGGTTATTTAAGGCGACTTAATGACTGCGAATGGATATTTCCACGATGAAATCAGTAGGTCTGAGGATGTTAATGAAGTTAACTTGTCCCCGCTTTCGAAACGGCTTTCTCTCATCCAGGATGGACTGCAGTTTCGACTGCGCCTGGGTATCACCAGCATCCGC